AGTGATGTTGCTATGCAGTGAATACTTTTATAAAGAAACGCTTCCACATGTAAAGATTAACGTTCAGGGTAGGAATCTGGAAGTATGCCAAAAGATCAGAAACTTAGGATTAGTTATTGATAGCAATTTAAGGTTTAAATCTCACGTTAATCAATGTATTAAAAATGGTTTTCATTACCTACGCCTAATTTATCAAAATAAGGACTTTCTCAATTCAAGCCTTAGGAAAACGTTATGTGAATCTTTGGTCTTATCGCACTTAAATTATTGTGATGTAATATATGGACCCTGTTTAGACCAGAGGGACACACAACGTATTCAACGTCTCCAAAATGCTTGTTTGAGGCTGATATATGGCGTGCCCAGAACTGTTCATAGCATTTCTAATAAACTTATTAGTGCCAATTGGCTTAACATGAGAAATAGACGTGATTTGCACTCTTTATGTCTATATGTATAATAAAATTATTAAGTCACAATCCCCTCCGTATTTATATTACAAAATAACTTTTAGGACTGATACACACAATCTAAATCTAAGATTTCGTGGATTATTAACAACCCCCAAACATAACACCTCCATGTTAAGACGATCTTTTTCGTACAACATCGCGGTAAGTTGGAACAATATCCCCGCCAAATTAAGAGAATTAGACGGAGTGAGGTTCAAAAAACAACTAAAGTCATATCTTCTGGATAACCAAAATAATAGCCTCTGTTAGCAATGCGTTTCACCGGGATCCAAATTTTATTTTATTTTGTTTTTTTTTATTTTAAATTTTATCTGTGTGTACTTTTTGAAATTTTAGCTATCTACATTATGGTTCTATATTGTTTATTACCCCATTAAAGACTCGCACCTCGACTCGCACACATGTACTGCAAATGTAATATATGTTTGACGTTGCTAAGTTTACTTTTTGTATTTAAACCTAGAGGTTAAGTGGAAGAGCAGCATTCGCTGAACTTCGCCTCTACATATTTATGTACTACAAAGAACTCTTTTCACTGCAATAAAGGCACTATTATTATTATTATTATTATTATNTGCGGCAGATTTACATCTAACGCGGGTGAGGCCCTCACATGTCTCCTGGAAACACATTTTCCAGGCTCTGGAGACTATGTAACTTCGGAACCGCCAGAAGGTGCTACCCGGGTCGGTGCAAGGCCGATCGACTGGAGAGTAGCTGCCGGGGTTGTTACCGAGGGATCCTTGAGATGGGCTATCAATACGTTTAGCCCATTTAAGAGCGCAGGACCTGATGGGATATTTCCGGCTCTTTTGCAAAAGGGCCTGGAACCATTACTTCTGCACTTGTTGCACCTCTTTAGGGCCTCTGTGGCTTTGGGGTACATCCCCATAAGCTGGAGAAGGGTCAGAGTTGTGTATTTACCTAAGCCGGGTCGTACTAAGTACGACACAGCAAAGGATTAGAGGCCCATCAGTCTATCATCGTTTCTTTTAAAAGCGGTAGAAAAGCTGGTGGATGCATACATAAGAAACGTGGCGCTGGTCCTTAGACCACTACACCCGTTTCAACACGCTTACAGAGCTGGCATGTCCACGGAGACGGCTCTTCACAGTCTCGTGTGTAGACTGGAGAGGGGAATGTCTGCTGGAGGGGGAGCTCTGGGAGCCTTTTTGGACATCGAAGGTGCGTTTAACAACACCACGTTCGATTCCATTAGTGAGGCTGCTGAAAGCTTTGGCATTGACGGGTCAATCGTAAGATGGATCCGGGCCATGCTTGGAAGCAGGGTCATCATAACCTCGATCGGAACTACGGAGATGAGCTCATCGGTCACTAGAGGATGTCCGCAGGGTGGAGTACTGTCTCCACTACTGTGGTGCCTGGTGATAGACGGGCTCCTTCGTACACTAAACGAGGATGGAGCGTATACACAGGGATACGCAGACGACCTCGCAATTGTCATTGTGGGGAAGTTTCCGAGCACCGTAAAAGAGCTCATGCAGAGGACTCTTGGACAGGTGGATAGATGGTGCAGTAGCCACGGTCTCTCTGTCAACCCGGAAAAGACCGAAATTGTTCCATTTACGAGGAGACGGAATGTGGACCTTGACGGTCTCATCCTTCGAGGACGCCAATTGTGTCTGACCAGGTCAGTTAAATATTTGGGGGTCACTATAGACTCCCGTCTGTCCTGGAAAGGGCACATTGAGCGAATTAGCAAGAAGGCCACTGCATGTCTATGGGCATGCAGGAGAGCTTTCGGCTGCACATGGGGATTAAAGCCTCGACTAGTATATTGGCTTTACACTTCGGTGATAAGGCCGATAATATTGTACGGCGCACTTGTATGGTGGCCTGCAACGCGCAGGGTAACATACAAGAAGCAGCTGAGTAAGGTACAGCGACTCGCTTGTTTGGGAATCACTGGAGCCATGAAAACCACGTCAACGTTGGCTGTTGGCTGTGGAGGCTCTTCTGGGACTTGAACCTCTACACTTATCGGTAGAGGCCGAGGCCCGGAGGGCTTCCATAAGACTAAATGATTGGGGTGAGTGGAAGGATAGAGGCAGTCTCGGACACGGGCGGATCTGGGAGGAAACTCTTAGGTCCGACCCCTTCCTCGCAAGAAGGGACGTGATTCGAGCTACCCTACTTGAACCGAAGAGGTATAAAGTCATTCTCCCGAACAGGGAGCAGTGGCTGAACCCAGATCGTCCGTTCCTCAAACCTGAGGGGCTCGTGTGGTTTACCGATGGGTCCCTAACGGAAAAGGGAACGGGCATGGGTATACACGGTGACCGGCCGAGAGTAGGCATCAGCCTCTCCCTTGGCCAGCACAGTACTGTGTTTCAGGCAGAGGTGCTAGCCATCACGACCTGTGCGCAAGAAAACCTCCGTAGAGGTTATCGTAACCAGCATATATACATATGTAGTGATAGTCAGGCGGCGTTAAAGGCTCTGTCAGCTGACAGGGTCCGCTCGAATACGATGCTTGACTGTAGGCGAACCCTAGATAGATTAGGTGAGTCTAATAGGGTAAGCTTGATATGGGTGCCGGGGCACTCTGGAATAGGGGGCAACGAAAGGGCGGACGAGTTGGCTCGCGAAGGCAGTAGTGGGGTCCTTGTCGGGCCTGAGCCCACCCTTGGAATTGCTCCCTCAGTTGTCAGGGTCAGGATTAAGAACTGGGCGACCAGTCAATTCCAGGCTCAATGGCAACAGGCAGCTGGACTCAGACAGTCCAAGACCTTTTTAACAGGGCCTCTTGGCAAATCTGAGTCTTCTAAGCTTCTAAACCTAAACAGAAGTCAGATTAGGAAGATCGTCGGTGTCTTCACGGGACACTGGATGGTCAACTATCACCTGCACAATATTGGGCTTGTGGAAGACCCTGCGTGCAGGTTTTGTGGTGAGGTAGAGGAAACTACCGAGCATGTAGTCTGTTACTGTGACGCTCTGATCAGGGACAGACATAAACTCCTCGGTGACAGTTACTTGGAACCGAGGGAGGTGAGGAAACTAAGGCTAAATAGGGTCTTATCCTTCATTGAAGGGAACGGGCTCTAAGCTTTGGTTGTTTAGAGAGGGGGGTAGCACAATGGGCCGTTGATGAGCCTAAGTGCTGCCTGTAAAGGCTCCCCTGATAGAATAGAATAGAATAGAATCTAGAAAGTATTTCCACAATATTTCACAATGCAACCTAATCTCTTTTAGATTTAATTGAAAATGCTACGCTGGTTATGCTGCCCGATAATACTCATAGGCCAGTTGTATTCGCAGATAATACTGAAACCCCAATTTTACTCGAACTTAATACCGAAACCCCAGTTTTACCCGAAAATAATACTGAAACCCCAGTTTCACTCGAAGTTAACAATAGAACCTCGGTTTTATTTTTATATAATAGTATGAAAAACACGTGTCACAATGCTTTAATGGAACACTCCTACCTTGTGGACACTCGTGGCCACGCTAGGCTACGCCACTCATGCCACACGAAGATAATCGTATACAATAGGCCGAATTGTAACAATAACAATATTATTGTCCCTATCTGTTTTTGTCCATTACGTTGCTGTCGACGTTCATAAAAATCTTTGTTTTATTAAAGAGAAATTTGTTGGGCTTCGACGTTTTATATAAAATTCATTTAAGTGACAGACAACAAATAGGTAATGAACTGCATCGAGCTATTCCTTAAAATTGCCCATATTTTAATGGCGTCGCACCCTATCAATTCTGTTAAAATCACGACTCGTTTTTCCTTTAACTAAATAAATTTAACTTGAATGACTCGCGCGCGAAGAAGGCTGTCCTTTCAAACATCGAAGAGAAATTCTTGTCGGATCGATTAGAAAGCTCCCGTCTCCGTGTAATCACTTTAAAGAATGCACGCGCAAGACATTTTAAAATTAAGTTAGGAAATTCTTTTCTGACTATACGTACAAAACAGGAGAAAAACGACGTCTATTTGTGTGGTTTAAAGTGGAGGAATACTTACCAATGAATGGAAAATTCTGGTTCCGTACGTCATTTGTCTGAAAAAAAAAAATCATCAGTAAGTAAAAATCATATGTATATGTTAATAGATTTGTTTGCCATAAAAGGGTTACAACGAGAAGCAGTAGGATATGCCAAATGACGTGGGTTATATCTTTCGCGGTTCATTAAATTTAAATTTTCTACATTTCGTGCATTTAATCAGGTGTGCAAAGCGAAAAATCGCATAACTGATGGAGTAGACAGCACGCATTGATGATGACTTAAAAACTTTTCGATCTAATATTTTATTTCCTTTGCAAAGGTAGACAATAATGCCGAGATGATTTAGGAGTTGAAAAGGAAATAAGCAGTTTCGTATAAGTACCTCCTAGACAGGAGCATGGAAATAACGTTATTAAGGGAATGAGTTTTATATTTCCATTGAAAATGTCTGGAAAAATATATACTTAGTTATCCCGCATTATCCGCCTTTGTTGGCAACTAGTGGTAGTAGTGTTATTTATGTTGTATCTTTTCCACTACATATTCGCAAATCACACAATCTGTATAATACTGACATGCCATACGGTGCGTAATAAACACCGATCTATTTGTCGTATCAGGATTTTGAAATATAACCCTATAGTATCCATTCAAAAAGTAACAAAAGACTGTTCAGTCTTCTCCCCAATAATTTGTCGATGATACTTGAGTTAGGGGGTTGGGCTATAATTGAATCTAACTTTTACCAAACTTTTATAAAACATTTCCTCGCAATTTGTGGCGTTTCATAAGTTAAACTTCAATGTTAGTACAGTTACAATCGCAGTTCCATAACGCTAATTGGAAATTTATTACACTAATTTTGAGTACTGTAGCTCTTTTTGAACTCTTAAGTGTGTTTATTGATTGTTGGTTGAAATACTTTGTCATTTTTTGTGATTTCCTTAGATTAAAACCAGAAGAGGATATGCAATGTATAGTCTGAACGGTGTGGGATTTAATGCCCTCTCGCACTGAGTCGTTCATATGTACATACCAGGTACTTGTTTCACCCTATTGGGTTTTAACTACTGCTTTCGGCCTTACTCAGTTTAAACTTAAAAAAAGTCATGTCCGCATCCGCATTCAGGTCAAGGGTCTTCTTAGTCGCCGCGAAGCCAATCTGACTATTGTTTTAGCTAATCAACTAACAAAAGCATAGCACTATTTTAGCAAGTACAGAGTATTAGCAATTTTATTAAACATAAAGAAGAAGTTTTGCGCCTACCAGTATTAGAAGGCTATTTAAAGAAGGAAAACATTTTATAAGGAGAAAAATGCATACATTAAACTTAAGCGAAGGGAACGTTTAGCTTTAGGCTAATAGGTACGGTCTTTGACAAAAGTAATGATCGCGGAATAGGTAGATCCTGCAACATATGCAGCCAACGTTTGATTATATTGTGCAATTTGGAAATACGAACCAACAAGTTAAGGTATCTCCTTCATGAAAAAACCGGCGGAACCCAATCTAATAGGCATGTTGGTTGCTTAGGCTGCAGAGTTTACATATTAGGCGGTCATTACTTTTGTCAATGACCGTATATTGTATTGCCTCATTGGTGCCTTTTTCTTCCTACCGGTACGTTGCTTGTGGAACAACTGCACAACAAACCGTAACGAATCACACTGAGCCCAATACGCCTTTAATACTGCGCGATACCTCTTCCCGGGCTGGACTTTTCTCTTCCATTTTCCAGGTTATCATCAGACGCATATCACGATCGTCCGGAGCTGTGGTTCCCAGTCATCCACAAGTGCAGTGCATCGTACGAGTTGTTCGTCATATTTGTGCTCTAGTTGTGAGCAGTGTCGACAATCCTCAGGACGTGGTCTTCTGGATAAGGCATCGGCATTACG